TAATTTTAAAAATTGAAAAATCTAGAAATTGACATGTGGATTTTATTTTATTTTAAAAATATCACAAAATAACAAGTGTCAAAACTTATGAGAGATTGACATGTGGCAAAATTTATCTTCATTTATTATAGTAGATTCGTCTTTCTCAAAAAAAAAAAAAAAAAAAAAAAAAAAAAAAAAAAAAAAAAAAAAAAAAAAACTCATTAGTGGGCTTCAAGGCTTCAATCCCTAACGAATGTTGGTGGCATGCTAAGAATGTCTTTAAAAGAAAAACAAAAGGTAAAAGATGATTGCAAAAAAAATTAAAAATCAATGACAACCCACAGACTCTTTCTCCACATTTCCCCCCACCCTCTCTTCTCTCTCATCTTGTTAGTCGAGTAAAGTTTGGCGTACCCCTTAGCGTGCTACGAGGCAGTGTTAAGGGCATGCCAAAAACTTGGCGCACTCACGCTACGAGGCAGTGTTAAGCGCATGCCAAAAACTTGGCGCAGTCACTCCATATCTTAGTACTTCTCTCTTTAACTCGGATTAATGTATCTAACCCCTAAATGCTCCAAAATATATAAAATATTAATTCATATCTTGATTTTAAGCCAATTTACCCGCACGGAATGCAAACCCTTCCAATATGTTGATCTCTTTAATGCTCTCTAAATCCTTATGGTTTAACTAGGGTTTGCAAATATGTATGACGGAAAACCAACCAACATGTTACCAACCGAACCAAACATATTGGTAACCAATATATTTGGTACGGTAGTGGTACAAAATTTTCAATACCACGGTAATACGAACCAACCAATTCAATATATATATATATATATATATATATATATATATATATATATATATATATATATATATATATATATATATATATATATATATATATATATATAAAGTTTTAGTATGTTTGGCGTTTAATATTATATTAGCATTCAACGTATTAGTAAAGTTTAAAGTTTTAAACTAATGATAGCGTATCTAATTTTCCTCCACTATTTTAAATTATAAACTCATGGTAGACATTAATAAAAAAAAATTTGGATCGAAAAAAGAGGGGTTATTTGAAAATAATAACCATGAAAAAATTGATTCGGCATCTGACCATAGGATCCGCAGAGCATCCTCTGCGCATCAAGTAAGCCCTCTGAGGAAACGAAACACCTCTGCGGATCTTGGGTTTTTTAATTTTTTTTTTCGTTTTTTTGTTTTTTAATTTTTTTCGTTTATTAATATTAATTTTTTTTAATACACTAATACCTTATGTGATTATTATGTAAACAATTTGACCAAAAAATGTTAAAAATAATGAACTTATGTTTAATATCAGTCCATAGAACTATTTGGGAATCCACAGAACTGTTATCAGTGGATCAGTGTACACCTATGCGGATCAGTGTACACCTCTACGGATTAGTGTATAAATTGTCATACCGGTTAAATATTGTATTAACTCACCCCGGTATTGAAAAATATAGAAATGGCCTCCAATGCACCAATTTCTACGAATGCAACAACGTCGTCCGATACTCCACGTTCATGGACGACAAGAGAGGTGATGGTTATAATACGATGTTGGTTGAACATTTTTTAAGGTGTAACAACAATGGTTACCCCTGATTACCTTGGAGGTGATGAATGGACCCGCATAACAAGTATGTTCAACCTCTCATTTGGACAAGGAGAATATCGGGTACAAGTAGATATTCTTAGTAAGTGGATGGAGTTAAAGAATGAAATCACATGGTACAATCGATGGTATCATCATCTTAAAAATAGTAGTAATTATTATTACTCAAACGAGGAAGCTCTTGTAAGAATGATTTTAGATCATTACATTTTCGAGCATGAGGGAAAAGACTTCGAGTATGTGGACGTTTGGAATCTGGTTAAGAACCACCAGTATTTCATGTAGAAGGGTTTTTTATGTGAAATGTTTTATGTAATATATTTGCTACTGATGTACGTTTTCCATGTATTTGTATTGTTTTCTATTTTATGTTCTATGGAATAAAGTAGAAGTTAACTCAACTGGTTTCGTAAATAACCTAATACAAACCAAATACATATAAATAACGTAATACAAACCGGTGCATATAAATAACCTAATAAAAACAAACTACATTAAAATATCCTTCTACAAACGCAATACAAATTAAAAATACGGGAGATCTTTTAAGAGATTCCAAGGGCCTTCAAACTCGAATTCTAACCCGTCACTAATGGATATGTATTCCGCTTTCATCGCGTCCATGATGACTTCCTCATCTTCATTCGGACGTGCGTCATCAATTTTGGTATAAAGATTGTTGAAAACCAAGACTTTTGTTTTTAATTCATACCATTTTGCCGTGATGTTAACGTGTTGTGGTAGTTTTCTGGGGCAGTTTGAGGGTCAGCGTTGAAGGCATAAGTTAAAGGGGTCCAATAACTTGGATTATTCACCCTGGTGGTCTCGTGGATATTAATATATGCACGAGTTAGACGGAGGTTATCCTCAGCGCTCCATGGTATGTGTGACAACCCGAAAATTTTTGCCTTGTAAGTCCAGCCATTCAATTCAACCGAGTGTCAGACCCGTTTCTGCTATCTTTTAGCATTGCTTAGAGTCTGTTTAAGGGTTCTAAGCTCAATACAATCAAGCTATTGGGTTAGGGATGTGTCAGCTAAAGTTCTTCGCGTTGCAATCGAGCCGAACACTCCATCCAAGGGAGTGTACGGCCGTACACATGGGTGTACGGCCGTACACCCATGTTGACCGTACACCCACCCCCATATGTAGAGGATCCCTTCATTTCTAGCCATTTCTTCAACTTCCAAGTCTAGAAATCGGATTTCTCTCTCAACTATCATCGAGTTCTTCATCCTAGATCATCAAAAACGTAAGTGATTCTTCTGCCCTTCTTGATATCTTCCTTAGTGTTGTAAACATCTCTTGATTCATCCATGAAAACATCTTTTTATGTTAGATCTTCAAACATTCATCCATTTAACCAAGAACACACACTTGTTCTTGGTGGCCGTGAACCCTCTTTTGAGCCTCCAAATCGTAAGTATCCTTTCCATATGCTTAGTATACGTTAGATACTCTTGTTTAACACCTTAGAATCGACCATTTAGCTGGAACAAAAGGAGTGTACGGTCGTACACCTTTGCATGGCCGTACACACCTCAAAACACCCCAAAAGGCCCTCCTAAATGAGAACCTAGTTCATATTCTTGATGAGCAATATACCCACTAACTTCCCCATGGTTCAAACACCCTCTTGTGCATGTTTTACCATGAGTGTACGGCCGTATACTCCATGGTCGTACACCCATGGCTGTACACTCCATGGTTAGGCCGTATACACCCCTTTAGTGAATCACATGTGATTCTAACACTTAGTCCAAGTGTTTCCTAGTCCCTAAGGGTGTTTCCTTGCATGTTAGTTGCTTTTAAACACTAAATTCATGCCAATACATGCCATTATATGTCATTTAGGACTCGTTTGTGTCTCGGGACTTCATTCGGGGAACTTCTCATCCTTACACGCATATTCGAGTGAATCACCCACATAAGGTGAGTTCATACCCCTATAATCAATCTTTTAAACTATTTTAAATTCTTTTAAAGGGGGGAATACAAGTTGAACACAATGATAACTGTGTAAATGTTTTGCTATAAACACCATTTTAATAGATTGCTTATATATTTATAAGTGGTCAAAACATTTCAAAAACTCTTTTTAAGTTATGTTACTTTATAGTTTATAAAACTCCGTTTTTAAAGTACAATCATAACTTAGTAGATAAATGAGTCTTTTCTTCAAGTCAATAACAGTGCAAGGTAAAGATACTAGTAAACTATAATAGGTATAGTTTAGGGGTTCAGTTCCCACTATAACATAGAGAACATACTATAAAGAGAAACAGGGAGGTAGATACAATACACTAGAACATACTATAAAGAGAAACAGGGAGGAAGATACAATACACGATAACAGATAGAACATAATATATACTATAATAGAAGAACAAATCATGATTAACAAAATTATACCAATGATCACTAACTCATTGTTCTAAACAAAAGGTGATAATAAATGTGGTATACAAGATCATATAACTTTAATTTGAGACTATTTCACGGCTTAGCAATTCGTTTGTTGAAGTCGCGTTTTGTAACCAGAGTCTCTTGCAGGGAGAGCGTATAGTATGGGTACAACCACATCACATTATGACCTTAATAAAACAAACTAGTTTTAAGGTAGTCAGTACTTCAGTATGTCAATTTAAAAGACTACTGCATACTTTCATTTTTCCAATTACTTTCATATTGTGAAATTCTCACTTGAAAGCACTACTAGAAAAACAGCCTTTTATGACGCGCAAACAATGACACGCAGTGATTTACGATACACAAAAGCGTGCGCCCTAAAAATAATGTCATCTCTTCTAAAATTTGAAGGACGGAGGACACGCATTTGTGCGTTCCCTGAAATTAGTGTCAGAAAAGGAAAAAAAAATACAAACACGAAGGGCGCTTATCTTAAATGTGCGTCCTCTTCAAATGTCGCTTTATATTTTTTTTTGGCTTAAACGCGCGTTTTTTAAGGGGGAAAATGAAATCGTCTGAAATTCTAAAATTTTGAAGAACCCCGCTTCTACCCTCTCTCCTCAGTATCTCCCTTCATTCACTCCATCCTTCTCTCTGTAAACCCTAAGCCACCGCCACCGCCACCGCCATTGAACCTTAAAAACTCAATCCACACTTCACGCTTCTGTGATTCTCTCTTCTTCGGCTCTCTAATCTCCGATTTTAGTCTGAAAACATCTATCGACCTCCGATTAGAAACCCAAAAAATTAGAAAACTCCACATTTCCGAGCGTGTTGGCGCCCGTGCTTTGGTGTACCTGGTCATTGTTGTTCTTATTCCCTTCTTTTGTTGTTTGTCTGATTCCATCTCCATATCAATTTTCTAACCGCCCCACTATTCCAGATAGCTTCCGTTATGTTATCGAGTTGCCAATTTCCATTAGCTGGTAATTTCCACGAGCAGAAGAAGGGACAACGGAGAAAAGAGACGAAGTCAAAAGAATCAGTATCGCATGCATATGATTCAATGCTCTCGATGTTAGATGATTTTGCTGCAAATGGGAGTGTGGCCATCGAGGTTAGGTCATCAATGGAGGGATTAGGATTGGGATCGCCTAGTCATGGATATGAAGTGGGGGATATGGTTTGGGGAAAAGTGAAGTCCCACCCTTGGTGGCCTGGTCATGTATTCAATGAAGAGTTTGCAACCACTTTTGTGCGAAGATCAAAGAGGGAAGGTCTTCTCTTGGTTGCCTTCTTTGGAGATAGTAGTTATGGATGGTTTGATCCTTTAGAACATATGCCATTTGAATCAAATTTGCTGAAAAGTCTTGGCAGAATAACTCTAAAACTTTTGTCAAAGCTGTGGAAGAGGCAATGGATGAGGTGAGTAGAAGGAATGCACTTGGTTTGTCTTGTATGTGTAGAAGTAAGCAAAATTTCAGGAAGACAGATGTTAAAGGGTATTATGTTGCTGATGTAGCTGATTATGAGCCTGGAGCTGTATACTCAATCAATGCTATTGAGAAAGCTAGGTCCAGTTCATAGTCACATAAATCGTTGGGTGAGGCGCGATCTACGTACCAGTTCGCCCGTACCAAAACGCGGTACGAACGTGTACCGGGGACGCTCGAGATCGCGTTTCTAAACCTGAAATTGGCGTTCCAAATTTGCAATTCAATCGTACCTGATGCTATTTGGATCACGACTTCATTGATTCCAAAACGTGTTTGCAATCGATTGGGTACGTGATTGGGAATTTGAAAAGCCAATTAATTGGTGTGCGTTTCTCTCTGTATTCGATCGGATTATGAGCGAGCCTTTAAAATTGAGTTGATACTCTGTAATTTGACCTATATTTGGCTTCCCTTCCATCACAATTTTCATTCAATTTAATTTCCAGAACATCAAAAATCAGATTTCATTTTTTTTTTATTCTTGAATCCCGATTCTTGATTACAAGGAACACTCATATTCAAATATAACAGAAAGTAAGTCGATTTGTCTACAAGGAATATGCTTTACAAGTTTTCCATTTTTATTAAATTATGTCATTTTATTGGTAACTGTTTTTGAAATTTGTATGCAGGGTATTGACTATCGGACTCAATTCCAACTTGGAAATGGTGGTTTGCTTGGTGCTAGTTATATTCAGGTAAAAGATTTCCCATCTCTTATATTAATGTTTGGTTTTAATGTTTGGCTTATTACATTACTTTTGTCTCCTTTGTTGTATGTAGGTTTCATTGGCATCTGATTTAATGTACAATTACATGTCAAGAGATGTCACTGCCAGCTTTGGCTATGATTATATACTTCACGAGGCAATTCAATATAATTTATATTTTATGTTTCTTTATTTAAATAAAGTTTGGGAATTGGTATAAATTTTTGGAGTTAATAAAGGATCATTTTAAAAACTAATCTTTTTTACATTGACAGTGTCGGCTTAGAGGCAAGATTGACTCAAATGGCTGCATATCTGCTTTTCTTGAAGAAAGGTTGAGCATGGGTCTTAATTTTATCATCTCTGCTGAGGTCAGTACATTTATCACACTTAATAATTCCATGCAAAAACACCATAAAGAAAAGTATTATATACAATAAATACCAATATACATTTTCTTTAACAAAGGAATGGAATGACTCATTACATTCCATGATCATATTTGGTTGGCCTGTATGAGAGAAATGAATATTCATATGCTTTTTTTACATCACATGTAAAAAATCAAACTAGTGGACCCAAAATCTAAAAAATCAAACTAGTGGATCATCATCTCTTTTATCCTGTTGATACCTTTTGTCTTCTTATTAGAAGGCTTCAAGCTTACATTTAATGGTTGAATATTAAACTTGATAAATACTTTATATTTTAATGGAACCCGGAACACCACATGGATCAAATATCATATCTCAAGTGCGGTCCCACATTCTTTGGATGGAGAAAAGGGTAATTTCGTCTTTTACAACTAACATTCCATGTTTGATTCTTCTAATAATTATATTAGCATATTAATTTTTTGACTTTTATTTGATCAGGTCACAAGAATTATCGGAGCAGGGGTTCATTAGTCTTAAAGAATTATGAAAGGCAAGATGCAACTCTACTTAGTTGGAATTTGATGTTTATCATCTTTCTGTATATCTTCTTAGTTTGTATAGCATTACATTGCAGAAGGTGTCCCTTAATAGCAATGTAGTATTAGGTTATATAGTTAGGGAAAACCTCTTAATAACAATGTACAATTAGATCCCCTTAATATCTATGTATTACAATTTTTTGACATGATGTTATTGGATGAAATTGATTGTTTTGGTATATATTTGTTTACATATTTTTGTATTATGCGTAAATGAGTATCGTAAAGACGCGTCGTAAATGCATATCGAAAATGGTTACTGAAGTTTATGACACGCAAATGCGTGTCATCTTCATTTATGACAGGGGTTTCTTTGATACGCATTGCGTGTCATAAACACGCGCGTCGTAAGGTTACAACACGCAAATGCGTGTCGTCTTCCTTTATTACAGGGTCTTCCTTGATACGCATTGCGTGTCATAACTGCGCGTCGTAAATGCGTGTCATAAATGCGCGTCGTAAATAGACGACGCGCAAAAGCGTGTCGTCTTTCTTTATGACAGGGCCTTCCTTGACACGCATTTGTGCGTCGTCTGAGCGTTTTACGACACGCATTGCGCGTCGTAAAAGGCTGTTTTTCTAGTAGTGAAGATAATGCAAACTATTTTCGAGCTAAGATAGTTATAAACTAGGGAAAACTTACATCATTACAAGCGACAAACAGAACAGTCGAGTCTAGTACATTCAGTAGGAAGGGGCCTATAATGCTAACTTTATGATTCCTTAGTTTATACATCATGGATATATATTAATCGGATCCGACCGGTAGTAGGATGTGTGCTTTCCGCTTCATTTTCCTGTTCCTTGTTTGGTTGTGGGCTTAGAGCAGATTCACCCAACCTACTATCTATCCTATCTTAGCTATATATATATTCCGTATACACCAAGTAATCATAAGGAGTACCAAGTATGGGCCAGGTCATAGTATACAAATTCAATACACCGTTTTCTAGTACAAAACATACTTTCAAATAGAACATTTGGTAAACAAAACTAGAAACTTACCAGTAAAGGTTTAATCCAATTATTTAAACCAGTATAACTTAAAGGACCTTAGGTGGTTAATTCTATAATACCTTAGTTTATACATCAGGGTTATATATAATTAATACCCGATAGGTAGTTGGATGTGTGCTTTCCGCCTTACTTCTTGTTCCTTGTTTGGTTGTGGGCTTAGAGCAGATTCACATAACTAACTATCTGTTCGATATTAGATTATATATAGCTAGTATAAACTAAGTGATTATGGAAGAAACTATTGTGGTTACCATTTTTACTAAAAGAAATAAGGGTTTTCTTAAAGAATCTTTTCATAAAATATAAAGGAACTATTACAGTTAACTCCGTGAGTACCAAGTGAATACGCCAGGGTTATATACAACAATGATCTAACAAACAATGGGATGTGTGCCTTCCGCCTCATTCCTTGTTCCTCGTTTGGTTGTGGGCTTAGGGCAGATACACACAATCGATTGTTTGTTTACTCTGGGTTTTATATAACTTGTATCCATTTAGTACTCATAGAAAGGATTGTAGAGTCATTTTTACTTATCTTTCATCAAAGCAGGAAATATAGGATTTTCTGGAGGAACAGACGAACTTTTCTAAAAAGAACTTACAACTTACTTACATCACTAAAATCTTATGAACTCACCAGCTTAAATGTTGATCTACTCTTTCAAAATAACGTGTATTCTCAGGAGACCAGTAGACAGGTATGCGCACTGGGATTCAGAAGATGGAGCATAATAGCTTCATGTCTTGTTTTGTTATTTACTTTGTAGTCTATGTTATGTGAACCATATACTTTGTAAACACTTTCTTTCTAATGAAATGGTTGTTTGTTACTTTGATGACTATAATGCATGTCTTGTGATACTAAACATGACGTCCTCCGCCCCCGAACGTTTCCATCGTTCCGGTTTGGGGGTGTGACAGTATGGAAGCCATTATGAGGGAAAATATGAAGGTTAATTTTTCAAAAAAATGAAATGAAGAAGAAATGGTACAAAATCGATGAAAGGATACGCATGGTAAAGTGATTTTATATTACTTATTCTGCAGAACTATTTGGTAATCCGCATATCTGTTTGTCAGTCTTTTTTCTTATTTAATTACCCGTTTAAAAAAGCTGTGTGTTTAATAAAAATTATACAAATATTCCATGTTTTTTATAAAATTACACACACCGATATTCTGAATAATAAACATACTTTAAGTAGGTTACAAAACATACTTTAGAAAACATAAACATACAACCTTCATAATAAACATACTTTGAAATAAACTTCATTCATTCAAATCGAACCACGGAAGCTTTGATCTATTTTCGTATTCTGGCCATGGGTTTTCTGTTGCTTGTGTCCCTAGGTTTACTGTCGCTTACGTCCATTGGTTATTTGGCTCTTGCTGCCATTGGTACTCGGTGCAACCTTGCCATTGGCTTTGTGGCTCTTCCTGCGGTTGGTATTCGGTCCCTTGCGTCCATTGGTTCTATGGCTCCTGCTACCATTGATGTTCGGTCTGTTGTGTCCATTGGTTATCTGGTTGTTGCTGCTATTGATGTTCGGTCTGTTGTGTCCATTGGTTGTCTGGCTGTTGCTGCCATTGTTATTCGGTATGTTGCGTCTATTGGTTCTCTGGCTCATGCTGCCATTAGTTTTTGGTTGCTTGCGTCGGTTCCTCTACTGTCGCTTTTGTCCCACTTCCTGACGCCCCAATACGTTTTTTACTTTTACTTTGGTTCTTTGGAACGATTTCCTTACACGTCCTTGCATTATGAGTTGTGTTATGGCATCTACTACACCTTCTTATTTTTGGTTCCTCACCTTGAGAGGGAATGCGATTGATGTTTTTTGGTCTACCGGCTTGACGTATTTCCATCACAGGAGGGTTAACAACCATAAGGTCATCCGGAACCTCCCAATCACTAACTTATGAAAGAGGGTATACGGTCTGCTCGTACGTTCTTCAATATGTTTCAATTTTATAAGTATCTATAGCCATATGCCCACAGTGATCATTTTCAAGTGCGTTAAAACCATTATCACATGACCACATGGCAAACCAATTAGTTGCCAATATTTGCAAGAACAAGTATTTTCCCTCAAATTCACTATGCCGCCACTTTTGAAGTCATGCACTTGATATGTTGTATTGTCAACACCGGATACCGACCATCCTTGAATCCCCTCTTTATTTTTTTAACCATATCTTCAGCCCACTTCGTAAGTATTGTTGTACTTTTTCTGTTAAAACAAACATATATTATTATATATGACATTTATCATATAATTTAAAATTAAACATAATCATACATGCAGTCATCCGCCGTTTGTAAAACCATTTCTGCATAAGTGCGCGAAAGAACTCAAGAAGTGGTAATATAGGCAACTTCCTTGCTTTATTTGATACAACATTCATGGACTCCGTATGAATAAGAAAGGGTTTAGCTAATGGAGATATTAACTCTTCCGGGAACCAGTAACGCGTAAACCATATCAAACCAAGACCAATCAATATCCGAACGGAATGGAGATCTTGTCAAGCGCACTGGCTCTATTGTGGATGTCCCTACGAGAAAGGCTCTGGTCCATTTCTCACGTTGAATTTAACTGAGATATGTCGCTACATCATCTCTTATATTACGAAGTCTCCCCCAATAGAATTCAAACTCAGTGGTTTTGTAAGCTCTTACCAGCTTCCAAAACAAAATTGCTGTTTTTTGTTTTTTCCAAAGGTGTGGACTATGTTTCCTATTAGATGAAAACCACACAATCCATGTTGAGCATTTGGAAAAACATTTTGAATACTTACAGCAATTGCGGGTGCCCTATCTGTGACCATTGTCAGACCTTCCACATCACCAATGCATTCATGTAGTTTTTCAAGAAACCATGTCCAAGAATCTGTAGTCTCTTTTAGGCAAATTCCATTCCCAATAGGGAAGATCTGATTGTTGCCATCCATGGCTACTGCATGCAAGATGGTGCCTTTGTACTTTCCCTTCAAATGAGCACCATCCATAATAACAACTTTTCTACAACACTCTCTGAAAGCATGTATATGCAACAACAATATAAAAACCATTAATATATCAACAATATAATTTGTTTATAAACATTTAAGAAAATAACAAATATATTTAAAAATATATTACCGCGCATCCAATAGCGAAAAAGCAATACTCAAAACGATCCTCCGAATCAGTTTTTATGTACGCCACAGTACGAGGATTATGTTTCTTCAAATTGTGAAAATAAACTGGAAGTTTGGAGAAACTTTCTTCGGGGGTCCTCATCATCAATCCCAAAGCAAATTCTCTAGCATGCCACGCTTGTGAATAAATCATATTTATTTGTAGCAAAGCATTCATATCTCTAATTATATCATTAGGCTTCCAAACTCTCAAACTTCCTTGACCCATAATGTCATGTATTATGGTTCCCACAACTTTGCTATTTGCTTGCCTATGATTTGGGTGTATAAGCAATGAAGAACATGTATGCTCGTTATTAAACGTCTTAATTTCAAACATTTATGTTCCTTTAATGAGAGATGCGTATAAACGCCAATGACAGTTTTCTTGCATGCAAACAACGTGGTACCGAGATTTTGAAGATTTTTCAAACTTTATCTAAAACTTTTCTCTAACGACTTTGAATTTAACAGCAAATGCTAGGTATTTTTTGGTGTTATAGGTTTGATTGACAATTAATTTATCATTCAGACCTAAACTGTGAAATGGTCCAGGTTCAAAAATAGGTTCTGGACAATCAGGAATAGAAGGAATACAATACCATGGATTAAAAGTAGTTTTTCGTTGCGTGTACTCATCATCCGACCACCCTTCATTTGATTTTTCCTCACATCTTCGATCATCAATTTCAGGAACTTCTCCAAACTCGAACAAATTTTGACATTGTAATTCAGTCATGCCCACTTTTGATTCTTTATCATTATCTGATACAAAAGTATCATTATCAGATACAAATTTATCAGTAACCGAAACTTTTTTTTCATAACCCACTGACACTTCATTTCCTCTTCCCCTTGAATGGTTTCCATCACATTGGCTTTCTCTACGACCTCTATTAGTTTTTGTTGGATTAAACTGGTTGTTAACCACTGCTTGTTCTTCAGCTTCTTCACCTACCACCGTTAAATACAAATGCATCGTCTTCTTTGATTCAGACATTACATGTCTCAATTGAAATACATCAGTTTCATCTCCAAGCTCCATGACATACCCTAACTCCGGGTGTTTAAAAGACAAACATATACGACTATTTAACACACCTGCCTTACTTCTAACCATTTGTAATAACATTTTCATGGTCAATGTTAGGAGGAAGATTTAAACCATAGTTTTTCACATTATTTCTAACGTAAACCTCATCTCCATTAACTAACTGACACGACCCTCCCGTACACAAAATAAAAAAACTCATTTTACAAATCACTCTCCACAAACACAATGAAAAAACAACTTCTATTGGTAATTGAAACTCACAAACTCACAAAAAATCACTTAAATACATCTATAACTTCTATAACTGATCCGCAGAGGTGTACACTGATCCGCAGAAAACAGTTATGCGTATTCCCTAACAGTTATGCAGAGTAATTAATAGGGATTTAGTTTAAATTGGACAACCACACACAAAATATATAGAATTTTAATATGAGTTCATCTTCAAACTTCTGTATTTGCTCTTACAATGGGCTGAAGAACAACAAAAAAAATAGATACAGAGTCATCTCGGGCTCTCACTAAACGTCGTGACGTCATTGCGGAAGAGTGCAAACAGGCTGAGGAAAGGATGCAGATTAATAAAAATAAAATCAAAGAGCATGAAGAATGGATAAAAAAGACTAAGAAGAGTATCAAAATGACTGAAAACTGGCTTACGGAGAAGGATGCAGAAATTATAGAACTTGGGCGGCAAAAAGATCGTGTTGAAGATAAAGTAAGAATTAGGGACGACTATATATCTATGGAGAAAGATAAGTATCCATTGCAGTTCCCTTAAGTTGATTAGTGTTGTTGTACGTTTGTTTTGTTATATGTATTATCTTGTACTTTAACTTAATTTATTAATTTAACTCTACTATACTAGTCTGCTATTCCAAATAACATAATCAAAACATAAGAAAATATTCTTAAAACAATAATCATAATACAATCAAAGTCTACTATTCCAAATAATTTATGCCATCCTATTACGGTAACTAAATCCTGTATCTCTAGGTGATTGACGTGTCTCCACTGGTACACCCGATGCAAGCATTTCCATGAACATGCACACAAAAACTCCACAATCTCCTCTTTCTCCTTCTTCTACTTTTTCCTGTTGCGGCACATGTTTAGCTTTAACGAATTCCACATTAATAGGTTTCTGTCTATTGGGAAACATGTTTAGCTTTAACGAATTCCACATTAATAGGTTTCTGTCTATTGGGAAAATGGGTCCAATATGATATGTGGCCTAGTTCACTTAATATACTATCTCCCAACGATTTGAAACTACCGTCACCCGCATATCTTTTAAAGAAACCACATTATTCGGCTAAATCATATATGTTCACTTTCCATGTAAGGAGATCCAAATCAGCCAAATACTAATGCAGGTGCGGTATGTTTATGGGAATTAAAATCTTCAAAAAAATGATAAGTTATTAGATATATACATATTTTAATTTATATATATATATATATATATATATATATATACTAACCCGATCAATATCCTTCCAATGTGGTCCATCAACCATCCCGGCTGCTACACGCCTCAAATAATGTTGTTTCCCAAGTTCCAAAGTCGTGCCTTCAGGATTAATAATCGTCCACCTACCAGTCGACAAATTTATTTCCTTGAGCAGGGACGTCCAGATAACCAAATGCTGCGTGTTAGAAAAAAAATCATTTAGTACAATTAATTATCCAACACTTTTTGTAATATAAAATAAGAGATGTGTGTTACCTCAGAGAGCAACCATCCAGAGCCAATACCAAGTAAACTTGACCAAAATTCCCAATTCATCTCAATACCTCTTAAAAGTCTATCCTCCAAAAATACCGCTCCCATGTTCTTTCCCCACAATTTCCAAAATTCATCATCACTATCTGCATAACCGTCCAATAGTAATGATCTTTTTTCTACATTATTGGACTTCTGCGGTTTTTTCCGTTTTCTGTTCTTCAATGGTTCCGTCGACGGAACCTACAAAATCAATATGTTAATTAATTTGGAACGATTATATACTATATAAATAGAAATTACTTAATTTTATACATGTGTGTAAGGCTCCCTACAAAATTTTGATTTCATTTTTACCTGCCCTTTTAACGGTGTAACTGTGTTATCCTTAACTACAACAACAGGCGGTGGCGTATGCACATACGTATGGCCTGAATCGGGATCCAAACCACGAAAAATGCTTCCCCCGCATCTACATTTTCCATATCGTTCACACCAAAATGTTTATCTTTTTCCCAATTATCCATTCTCTTCCCAAAGTGCTCGATTGTGGTTTTCAATTGAGTAACAACGCCCAATAACTTGTCTAATTTACTGTCTGCTGGAGGTATGTGGTATGTTTCCTGAAAATGAGAGGTTGAGGTGTAATCTGCTTCCTGAAAATAAGAGCCTAAGGTGTAGTATGCTCCCTGAAACTGAGACGGGTGAGGTGATGGAGACCGCTGCTTAGGAGGACTCTATTATTGCGGTGATGGAGACCGCTCCTTAGGAGGACTCTGTTGTTGCGGTGGCGACTACACTTTGTCTAGAGTCCAATTTATATAACGCACAAAAAATGGCAAATGGATCTCAACAGGCGTTGGTTCAAA